GTAACTCCTCGTTTACTTTGGAATGAACAAACTTTCGGTCAGCATTCAACCAAAGGTGAGTACATGTCGTTTGTCACATATCATTTGTAGTGCTTTTCTAATTTCAGCTTGCATAATGTTAAAGAGTAGTCAGTCAGGCACTAAATTAATGTGAACAAACTATCGTTGAATTCGTTCGATTAAAATGAAAGTTCCGATTTACTTGTGTAGTATTCACAAACTATGGCTGCGACCCTCCTCAGCTGTTATTATAACTATGGTGAAACAATCTGATATTTAATAAGTAACAAAATATGATTTGATCTTATAGCAACAACAACTATTCAGATTATAGCTGTCATGCATGAAATCATAAGAAACGAAATAATTATATTGGTCGAAGGCAGATATCGTCTTCAACGCTTTCTGATTCCAATGCATATGAAAAGTCTGACGGCTCATGTTCCACTTGTTTCCAAGCATTACGCCAGCGACTCACGTAAATTTTATTGACAAATAAGTGTGGTGCTTCTACCTGAAAATAAATGAAGAAAAGTGTGCTGTGCTTAAAAGATTAATTCATGTATAGCAATGTGTTTCAGAAATGCATTCATAATCATGAAAATTAAATTCAAATCACAGTCCGAGCTTCAATTGTAGCTTGAACCAAGAAATTTACTTTCCTGGGACTCTGACAAAGAGCTATACTTGTGTTTATATTTATTTGATCAGATTAAAATTTATTGTGCCATTTTAAACAGAAACCGATTCTTATTAGAAGTTATTTGTTATAAGATTTTAAAGTTAGATTCGGAATTATTTACGCATTCTTTGTTTCTACGTGATTTACAACAGTACTCACCGCAGTTTCAGATATGGATGGTTGCCTGTCTTCAGGTGCAGGTTTCAATGAAGGTATCGTTTGTGATGGTGATGGATTCCGCGATTGCGTACTTTCTTTTGATTTCGCAGCCGTGTCGGTATTAGCTGCTGTTTGGCTAACTTTTGCTTTACGTTTCTCTTTTGACATAGTTGCCTTTGCTTGAAATTTATGCTGAAATGATAATAAATAATAAAAATTAAAAGTTAAAAGTACTTTCAATAACAATTTGCTTCAAGTTTGTGTGAACATGTTACGGAACACACAAATGAGCATGTCTGATGCTTAAAATCATTTCAGGTCGAGACTAGCATTTTAAGTAATCTCATTTTACTTTCAGCCAGGAGAAAGCAATTGTATACATTCACGTACCCTTTTATATTCACTTAGTCGTTTTCGTTCGGATTTTCTTTCTTGTCGTTTTAGCACACAGTACAGTAATAGAAAAATTGATATAATGAGAAAGACGACAAGTATCACTAAAGTTACGGTCAAAGCTAGCACTACTGATGGATCTGAGCTTGGTGTTTCTGTCGATGTCGTCAACTGAGATAAATCGTTCAACCCTCGTAGTATCATATCTCCTGGAATTGTCAACAGATTAAGTCAAATAAAAGAATTAGGAAAATTGAATGAGTTTTAAAAATTGTTTATAAAAAGTTAGGGGAAATACGAAAATTTGGTAGAGTGTAACAGTTAATGGTATGTGATTTCTGATGAGAATTATTATTTCTTTGAATGATTTGATTAATTATTTTTATTTCAACAATTATTTTTCTCAAAATTTGTGAACTTTAAAATTGTTTTAATTTTGTGATTGTTATCATATTCAGTACAAGCACTGTATCCATAGAAATTCTTTGGAGGCACATTTATCTTACCGTAAAAGACTACAAAAGCTTTTGAGAATTGGCATCTAATATGAAACTTTTATCTCCAAGATTGTTTTTACTTGCTATAAATGGGACCTGAAAGGATTAAGAATAATTTTGAAAAAGTTTAAAATTGTATTGGTCTCAAATTATATAAAATCAAAATATTTCTCTATTTTATGATGAGAAAAACAATTGTTGAAATTGTAGTAATAATTTTGAAAAAATCTATTGATAAACTTGATGTAGTGGTTTATTTTACTTGTTAAACTCAACCTAATGAATCTTATTTTCTATTAATAAAATAAAGGTTTGCTTCTACTCCAAACAAAATGCAAAATTTGAAATTCAGTACTCCAGAATATTTCATATAAATATTTTCAAATGCTATATCAGGACGAAAAAAGGCGAGAAAATTCTGTTTATTTTGAATTTTGCGTAATAAATTTTCTACTAACAATAAAAAGATTTTTAAAAAATATAGAAATGCAAGTGATTTGTAAAAATTCAATGGGATTCAAACATAATATCAATATAGTACGAAAATCTAAATATAAAGTAGGACCTCTTATAGTGTCTTCATCATTATTATCTTCATATGTAGAATCTACCCAGCTGTAATCTTGGTAATCATCTTGAATCTCGTCCATTTGAAACAAAATATGTATTTAGGTGTAAGAAACCGATCACTAAATGTTTTAGAGCTAAGAATGGTTAGCTTATGAAACTAAACAAAATTTATACCTCACTTTTTATCAGACATTGGCCGCAAAACAACTGTAATCAGAAAATGATGCCATCTGATGTAAAGTTTGAAAAACTTATTGTATTTTTTATCAAAAACGAATATCACTTATTATATTACTTTTGAATAAAATGTTAAACTTACCTCACTACTTCAGTACAGTAACAATCATTTTTTGATTTGAAAAGGTTATATCAGCGAATTATGACTGCAACTTTTGTATCTAATCCTAACTCTTTTATAATTTGCATTCGACAGAGAATATTTGAAGGATTTCTTCGTAATTTATGCTACAATTTATGACATTTACAATAATTTTGTATTGTCCTTAATAAAGGATTTGCAACAGTGCAATCCAAAACAAATAACATATTTACAATTTTAGTTGGACTGAGCTATTTTTTTTCTGCAACTTTTATAACACTGCATTATACAATTATGATTTATGTAATTTCGAGCTGCCAAATGCAAAATGAAAAAGAGCAATGCAAAGATAGATAGATAGGTAGATAGATAGATAGATAGATAGATAGATAGATAGATAGATAGATAGATAGATATAGATTTATGCAAGGTATGTACAGGCAGCCTAATTTTTGAAGATATTTTACTTATTTCAAATGCAAATTCAGATTAAAACGATTTATTATTGTTAACCTTATGTTCAGTTCACGGTTACTTATGTAGCATCTAAACTGAGTAATATCTAACCCATTTCTGACTTTTCTTGAGTGTTTATCCAGTGGCCAAACGGTTTGACACAAATCTAAAAGTAAAGATATAGCATAGTTTTTGCTGATAATCATAACTTACAATATTTTCAGTTTATGAGTTTAAATTACAATTAATGGATTTGAATACTGGATAAAATAAGTTTTTGAGCACTGAATTAACTGAGAAATGTTCAGAAATCGCTTTCAAAAACTAAACTTTCACTATTGATATTCCACTGGCTTTACTTTAATCAATAAAGTATTAAATTTTACGTACTGTGCTCATCGATCTGAGCCGAACATTTGGCAGTCCACTAAGCTATTTGCTTTAAAAAGCTACATGAATGATTGAAGTGAAAACTTTGTGCAAATATTCCACTGACACGGCTCTTCTTGCATATGCACAATTAGTATGAAAATTTTCGTTCATACAGTTTTCGGTAGATAAAGTTGGTTCCAAATACAAATTGCCTTAGAATCTAACTTCTTTTGAATTATTTTCAGTTCACAAATTTTTATAAAAATATTTGAAATTTCTGTTTAAATTCTCAAAAACAGCGTTGTATTCAAAAGTGAACAGTTTTATCATTTCGAAAAATTTTCGTTTCTCATATTCGCTGGCACTTTTTCATGAAATTCATCTAATTTTTTAATTATTTGTATATAAGAAATATTAGAGTTGGCACGAGTTTATTTTTATATTTTTGAAAAGATTGTGCGGTCGATGAGTGATAATATCATCTGGTAGGTAGATAATTCGGGAGATTAATACTTGCAATATAGAAACCTCTCAAACTTATCTTGTTTACTAATCAGATTTATGATTGTGATAGGATTCTGCGCATGCTTCTTCTAAGTACTCTAAAAAGCTTCAAAAATTTCACTCTACCAAAAAATTAAATTTCACAGTTAACTGTTAAATCTTTCTGCTTAATCTCAGTTACTATTTTTTTTGAACAAATTTTATTCGTACCGTTTGGAAGAAATAATTGCATTCAGTTACTACAATGATTTTTTCCTAAAAAATAACCAAACACTGAAAAATTATGTATTCGTTAAATAGTACAATAATTTTAAGCTAATTCAACGTAGTAATCGGTTGAATGTCAGGATTTCAGAAGTACTGACAAAAATTCAATAATTACGAAGAACTTTAAGAAGCCATAATTTGAATATAATGCTAGAAGAAAACGAACCAACTCAAAGAACTGAAGCAGATGAAGTGACTGGAAAAGTTTCTAAATATGCCCACAACATCGAAAATTAACTGTTGAAAACTAAATAATAATTTTAAATCCAATGTTCTGAATCAAATATTTTTTTCTTATTAATTTTACTAAAAAACAACACAATATGTTTTTTAATTAAAAAATACCAAATGAAATTAGTGCTTGCAAAGTATGGATAAAAATTAAAAAAAACCTACTCAGTATAGCTAATATCAATTAAAATATAATTATTTTGAACGATAAAGCTTTTTCTAGTGGTCAATGTCTTATATTTAAGCTGCGCAGTGCTAAATTATTTCGGTATTTTACCGTAATTATTATATGACTTATTACAAATAATACTATCAATTAATTCTTCAATAATCTCTTCAATGAACAAAATTATTTTATTATATGCATAGTTTATTTAGAAAGCTCAAAGGAAGAAAAAAGGTGGTAAAGGATTACCAGCAACGAAAGGAATTCCAAACGAAAAGAGGGTTTATGACGAATTATTTCATGAAAATTAAAAATAATTTAAAAATTTTTAAGCAATAGAATTGCTTTCTGGAATATTTGACTTTTAGCCTTAATTAATTCATTTGCAAAATAAACATAAATTGAGCGTTAAAATTATGAATACTATTGACATACGTGAAATTTACAGCTGGTTTTACGAGAACTAATTAAGAAACACTTATTGGCTGGCTCAGCACGAATGGAATACGAATTGCCAGACTTGCATCAGCTGCTAACAATGGCAAAAGCATCTTTTCAAAAATCTCCAACTCTGATCGAAGTTCCATGTCCTGTGAATATTTGTGGAGATATTCATGGCCAGTACGGGGATTTAATGCGTATTTTTGCTGTAAGTATTTCTATTATTCAATAATTTTTTGGAATATCAAGAAAATTGTTTTGAATCCATATACTCTTATATACTGTTAGAAGTAAATGAAAATCAAATTTTTTCGCTAATATAATTAGTATAATAGTTTGCATAATTATTCATTTATTAAATATTAAAGAGCTTTTAATGCAATATTTCACACTGAAAATAATAAAGCAATACAATAGCAAGTAATACTAAAATTGCTCTTTTAATTTCAAAAGTGCCTTCGTGAAATTTGGGTTGTAAGATATTAGCTTTTTTTACTTTTGTTTTGATTTGTTGCATTATAATATTCAGGGAGACTTCTGTTGTGTTTGTTTATCACTGTATTATCTAAGTAGTAGAAAATAT